ACAAAAATGTTTTTATCATTGGCAAATAGTATGCTTTTATTATCTCAGGTACAATACATAGATCATTTACATAACAGGGAGGAGGTTGTCACAACTGGGACCCTACAGGGTTCAAAAAGAAGAAAGTACAAAATATACGATTTTGGACATCATCATCTGTTCTGTCTAAAGTCAAAAAGTCAATATTCGCTTCCAGTATTCTGTTCTTTTGTCAAACTTATCACAATCTGGCAGAATTATTAATTTCCTTCTGACATAAAATACCAAGTGACCTAACCACCACCCAGGTCTGCCACTCCACAGGCGTCCCAGTCCTCCATGCAACACTGAAGGGACATGTCAACCATGACAGCCCCAAAACATCCAGATCCTTCAGTATCTAGGGGTGAATCTTGTCCACCCCTGGTGCCCTGCTGTCGAGGAGCTTTTTGACTACATCAATTACCTCTGCCGTGGTAATGGACTCGTTTTCCCATGAATCCTCAGACTCTGCCTCCTCAGTGGTGGACATGGTGGTTGGTTTAAGGAGATCCTCAAAGTGCTCCTGCCGATTAACAGTATCTACAACTTGGTCAGCAGTTCCCCACACAATACAAGAACAGCCTGAGGTAGGGTCTGCTTTTCTTTCCAGAGTTGCCGAACCGTTTACCACCTCGAGGCTGACCAAAATTCCTTTTCCATGGCCTCCCAGAATTCCTCCCATACCTGAGTTTTTGTTTCCGCAACCTCAGAAGCAGCAGTCCTTCTGGCCATCCTGTACATATCAGCTGCTTCAGGAGTCCCCCAGAAAAACCAAATCCTGAATGGCACGTTCTGCTTGACAGCCTCCATCACCACTGGTGTCCAGTGTCCACAAGTAGGTCTTTTGGTTGCCACCCTGCCAGGCACCATTTACCTTCAGACTCCTGGAAGCTGCATCTGCAGTAGAAGCCCTGAACATGGCCCGTTTGGATTCCATGACCCAAACTTCTCCCAGGACGTGAAAAACTCTTGGAGGTTTGAGTTGAAGTCCGCATGGACCAAGGGCTCCACCAGGCATTTCTGATCCACCCACACTATTTGGCAGGATTTACCAATTACCAAGTCTGGTGGCCTCCTCTGCCATGAGATCCAACTCACCACCAGGTGGTGATCAATTGACAGCTCTGCCTCTCTCCACCTGTGTCAGGCTACAGGTCCAACTATCTAATTACAAAATTAATCGTTGAATTTTTGCCTACAGAAGTCCAATAAGCAAATACTATTCGGGTTCAGATCAGGGAGGCTGTTCCTCCCAATCACAATCTTCCAGATAACAATCATTTCCTACAGGGGCATTGAAGTCACCCAGTAGAAAGAGGGAATCCCCAGATGACACCCCTTCCAATAGTCCATCCAGAGACTCCAGACACACTGGGCAATCTGAACTGATGTTTGGTGCACAAGGACAAACAAAAGTCAGAACCTTCCCTCCTGCAGCCAAAAACCACAGAGAGGCAATCCTCTTCTTCACCGGGAGAAAACTCCAACACCAAAGCATTCAGCTGGGGGCTTGTATCCCCACACTACACCTCCAGATGCAGGAAGAGGGCCACCTGCATCATGAAGGACCCCACTCACCCAGCACACACACTTTTTGCCCCGCCCCCCTCAGGAAGGAGGTTGCGGAGCATTAACTGTAGAACCACTAGACTGAGGAACAGCTTCTACCCTGAGGCTGTTAGACTCATGAATCTCTAACCAGAATAATCACTGTAATGACACTTTAATTGGTGATATGACTTATTCATGCTGCTGCTTATCCATGCTGCTGATTTCATGCCTTTAAGCCGCTGTCTTCATACCCATCTGCTCACTACAGACTCATGTTCAGGCTGCTGTTTAATTCACTGTATTATTTTACATTATTAGTGTTTAGCGCTTATCTTAGATCCTTATATACCGTTTCTTTTTATACTTTATATTTTTGCTATTTTTGGGTGTAAATGGGATATTGGGTACAAAATTTTGTTGCACCTCATGTACCACATGTGATGCGAATAACAACAAAGAACCTTGAATCTTGAATATTATAAATGAAATGTACTTTGTTTGAGAGCTATCAATGCTGTGGTTTACTCAGCAACTAGTTGCTTCCCTGACCCAGCAAGGGAGACGAGAGAATCCTCCGCCCCCTCCCACACTCTTCTTTCACAACTGTCAGGAGCTACACGCCCTGCACCTGACGGAGGGCACCCACTCCTCATGATAGGAACCCATTATGTATGCTAGACACGCTGTATGAAATAATGTGTTTTGTTTGGGGTTTTTGGAGGGGGAGGGCAGGTCCGGGCACTCGTGCCACACTTGATGAGATGCTGCTCTAGACAGCGCCTATATCGCCCATATCAGAAACCACCACTGCTTTTCAGAGTCCTGACTTCAGCCATATTCAAATTTGTGGACTAAGAATAAATACTAGGACAGGAAACCAACCACTGTAACTGAACTACAAATTCTGCCAAGAAGAGCAGTCAAACATCTAAACTGAATGGAACCAGATTCTTGTAAATTCAAATTCAAAAATACTTTATTAATCCCAAAAGGAAATGAAGTGTTGTTGTAGCTCATCACCCTGGTTTCATTCAAGAGTTGTTCTAGATGCTGACAGCTGTGGCAGGAAGGATCTCCTACAGTGAAGCCGAAGAATCTGGCCACAGATACTGATCCGTCCACCAGGATCCAGCTTGCTGTCAGATCCAGCGGGCCTCTCAGTCCTCCTGGGCAGCAGGACCGCCCGAATGCCAGGCAGAACCCCCTGAGTGAAGGTCACTCCTCCCAGCAGTCTGCCGAGCTCCTCGTCGCCACAGACAGACAGCTGAAGGTGCGGGGGATGATCCTGATCGTATGATCCTCCCATTGTCACCAGCAGAGTTTCCCACCAGCTCCAGGATCTCGTGGTCAGGTACTCGATACAAAATGGATAAAAAGTGTGAGGTTGAGGTGCAACTGGCTGAAAAGCATTTAACCAAATATCAGTTGCAGTATGAATATATTTATATATTTGTATAATTTTACCCACTATTGATCAGATAAAATCCACAATCAAATCAAACGTATGTATCATACTATCAAAAAGTAATAAAGTTTTTATGTTATATAATCACTACACTTTATTAAAATGGTTTAAATGCCAATTTACCTTCTGGTCATGCTAAAAGCTACAGATGAGAAATATACAGAGACAAAAATAAGATCTGTAACCAAAGCAACTCCAGTTTGATCCAGATGTTTCCCAGTTGGTCACATCTGTCAAAGACTCACCTGTCTGACAGGCAGTGGTGGGATGTAACTAAGTACATGTAGTTTGTTACTGTACTTAAGTACATTTTTCATGTATCTGTACTTAAATAGAGTTAAACATGGGTACTTTCTACTTTTGCTCCACTACATTTAATATTAAGTATATGTACTTTCTACTACTCTACATTTCTACAATGCGTTGAGTTACAAGTTACATTCACGTTGTGCTTTTTTATTTGTTTGTTAGTTTAAAAGTAACTAATGGTGAGAGGGGAGCTGGTCCATTGAATCACTGCAAAGCGGGCAGGTACGGTTAGACCCACCTTCAAGAAGAGCTGGACCAATGACGTATATTCTAGTTTTTATGTCATTGAGCTGGGAGCACCCACAGCACTGCTAACACACCCGAAATGATTCCACCGTGGAGAGTCAGCCAGAAGATGCGCACCAGCCATGGCCTTGTTGAAAGACTATTGAAAGATTATTCAGTAAAGAAGAACATGTTCTTTCCCAAAAAAAGACAGACTGGACTCAAAAAACTTTGAAAACCCACTTCTTCTGAACTTGAACAAGAAATTCTTGCTGCAATATTAAAATGTGTCAGTTCATGATGTTCGGAGACAAGAGATGTCTCCAAATGACTCGACACTCAGGTCCAAGTTTTGAAAATGGTGACAGGAAGTTAAAATATTGTTCTATTGACACATTACAAGGTCGACTAGACAGAATTTTAACTGGAGTTGAAATGATCAGAGCCTGTTCCTTTGTTACAGTGCCTTGCGAAAGTATTCAGCTCCCTTGAACTTTTCAACCTTTTGCCACATTTCAGGCTTCAAACATAAAGATATATATTTTTAATTTTTTGTGAAGAATCAACAACAAGTGGGACACAATCGTGAAGTGGAATGAAATTTATTGGATGTGTCAAACTTTTTTAACAAATAAAAAACTGAAAAGTGGGGTGTGCAATATTATTGGGACCCCTTGTGTTAATACTTTGTAGCTCCGCCTTTTGCTGCAGTTCCAGCTGCAGTTCCAGCTGCAAGTCTCTTGGGGTTTGTCTCTATCAGTGTTGAACATGGAGACACTGAAGTTCTGCCCATTCTTCTTTGCAAAACAGCTCGAGCTCAGTGAGGTTGGATGGAGAGCGTTTGTGAACAGCAGTCTTCAGCTCTTTCCACAGATTCTCGATTGGATTCAGGTCTGGACTTTGACTTGGCCATTCCAACACCTGGATACGTTTATTTGTGAACCATTCCATTGTAGATTTGTCTTTATGTTTTGGATCATTGTCTTGGTGGAAGATAAATCTCCGTCCCAGTCTCAGGTCTCTTGCAGACTCAAACAGGTTTTCTTCCAGAATGGTCCTGTATTTGGCCCCATCCATCTTCCCATCAATTCTGACCATCTTCCCTGTCCCTGCTGATGAAAAGCAGGCCCAAATCATGATGCCACCACCACCATGTTTGACAGTGGGGATGGTGTGTTCAGGGTGATGAGCTGTGTTGCTTTTACGCCAAACATATAGTTTTGCATTGTGGCCAAACAGTTGGATTTTGGTTTCATGTGACCAGAGCACCTTCTTCTACATGTTTGGTGTGTCTCCCAGGTGCTTGTGACAAACTTTAAACAACACTTTTTATGGATATCTTTGAGAAATGTCTTTCTTCGTGCCACTCTTCCATAAAGGACAGATTTGTGCAGTGTACGACTGATTGTTGTCCTATGGACAGACTCTCCCACCTCAGCTGTAGATCTCTGCAGTTCATCCAGAGTGATCATGGACCTCTTGGCTGCATCTCTGATCAGTCTTCGCCTTGTTCCAGATGAAAGTTTAGAGGGACGGCCGGGTCTTGGTAGATTTGCAGTGGTCTGATACTCCTTCCATTTCAATATGATTGCTTGCACAGTGGTCCTTGGGATGTTTAAAGCTTGGGAAATCTTTTTGTATCCAAATCCAGCTTTAAACTTCTCCACAACAGTATCTCGGACCTGCCAGATGTGTTCCTTGGTCTTCATGATGCTCTTTGAACAGAACCCTGAGACTATCACAGAGCAGGTGCATTTATACGGAGACTTGATTACACACAGGTGGATTCTATTTATCATCATCAGTCATTTGGGACAACAGTGGATCATTCATAGATCCTCACTGAACTTCTGGAGTGAGTTTGATGCACTGAAAGTAAAGGGGCCCAATAATATTGCACGCCCCACTTTTCAGTTTTTTATTTGTTAAAAAAGTTTGACACATCCAATAAACCGTTTTGGACGTGTACACTACACAAGCAGCAAGCTACACGGTGCAGGGCAGAGAGAACTTCCAGGTCAGACCACTTGTCAAAAGAAAATCATAATAATTGAAAGTGTGCGCTCGTTATCCGTTTTTTCCATTTTCGTTTTGTGCACAAAATCGGAAATCGAAAAAAGTGTTTTTGGTTTTTCATTTTTTGTTTCAAACAAAAAAACGAACTGCCTGAATCCAACAATTTTCAGTCAGGTCATCTGGACAGTTTCTTTTTTTGCTGAAACTTTTCACCGTCCATCCAGAAGGCTTCATCAGTCAAGGAAACATCCATCAATTAATCCATTATCTTTGACCCGCTTCTCCCATTTTGAGTCACGGGGGTAATCGGTGCCCTGATCCAGCAGTCACTGTGCGAGGGGCGGGGTACACCCTGGACAGGACTCCAGTCCATTACAGGGACACAGACAAACGAGACAAAAACATTCACTTTCTCACTCACACCTAGGTACAATTTAGAGTTACCAATCAGTCTAACATGCATGTTTTGGGTCTGTGGGAGGAAACCAGAGCACCCGGAGAAAACCCACGCATGCACGGAGAGAACATGCAAACTCCACCCAGAAAGGTCCCAGGACCGGGATTTGAACCAGGGACCTTCTCACTGAGAGGCAGCAGCTCTACCAGTTGCGCCACCGTGCTGCCTGTCAAGGAAACACACAACACAAAACTGATTCTTCCCCCAAACAGCTTACTCCAAAGTGGAACAAACCAGTTATGTTGGTGCTAAGATGGTGTCTGTGGCACGCCCCCTCCTCTTGTGCTGGCCCTCTTTCTCATAGACAGTCATGTCAAACTGGTTCAAAACCAAAACAGTCCATGCTCAATAGTCCAGGTATACAATCCAACAATTTTCAGTCCGGTCATCTGGACAGTTTCTTTTTTTTGCTGAAACATTTCACCTTCCATCCGCTTCCATCCAGGCCCCTGGATCGAGGTTTGAACCAGGGACCTGCTCGCTGAGAGGCAGCAGCTCTACCAGTTGCGCCACCGTGCTGCCCACTAGTTTGTTCCACTTTGGAGTAAGCTGTTGGGGGAAGAATCAGTTTTGTTGTGCGTTTCCTTGTCTGATGAAGCCTTCTGGATGGAAGGTGAAACGTTTCAGCAAAAAAAGAAACTGTCCAGATGACCTGACTGAAAAATGTTGGATTGTATACCTGGATTATTGAGCATGGACTTTTTTTGGAACTGCCTGAATGTACACGGACCGAGATGCATCGCACAGGTTTCTGGCCGAGCACAGAACAGGAAGTAGTAGACACGTTCATCACTGCCAACAGATGTTCACTTGTAGGGTCACAGTAAATCACTAGAAACTTTGGTTGAACTTGGTTTTCTCTCAAATGCAGTTTTTAAACTAATCTAGATCAAGCACAATACCAGTCTGACATCATTTCATCAAGACTTTCAACCAAAACCTTTGACACAGATGATGTAATCATAAATATTCTTGATTATTAATTTATGTACATAATCAAAATATTGAATTTGAGCACATTTAAACAGCTTTCATTGAACAAACACTTTTGCTACATTTTTTTCTTAGCAGTGTAAGGAAAAAAAAACGTTTAAAATGATTAGCGTGGCAAAAAACACCAAAATGACGTGTGAAATTGAACATTTATGTAAAAAAAAAAATCTATTAAGTGTTTAATGATTTCAGATTTTAGGATCTAAACATTTATAGTTGCACATTTTCCTTAAACTCAACGCTGCCCATTAATAACTGAACACTCCTTTGTCTTCTTTTGTTCATGGCCTCGACAGAACATTACATGGTTTAGTGCTTTGCAAACGTTCGTATTTAAGTGCACGGACACAGTTATGCAAACATCTACAGAGCAGATCAGAAACTTTGCAGCCATGCTGACATTTTGTTCACAGTGCAGAATGCAGAGCCACCCCATGCGTTCTGACCGATGACGAGCTACAAAGAACCCTCACTGAACTCGTTGAAACAACGTCCTCCAGTCTTCTATTCTTCTTTGCATTGTTCCCATTGCATTTGAACAACTTTACACGCCTGTACAAATAAGTTCCTCAGTGCTTCGTTTGTGCAGATGAACTCTAGCACCCGCAACCTCTCAAGTGGTTTAAAAAAGATGTTTGAAACTAAATTAAATCCAAGCAATAAAGCTCTAATATATATTTATTCAAAGAATTAAAATTAATATTTATTTTAATCGGGGTGAAATATTTACAAGCAGTCAGTGTCTTACCTGCAGAAGGCAAAAGTGAAGACTCCCAATATTTCGCATGTTTTTCGGTGTAGAAAAACACAATAGTGTTTGAACTACTATAAAAAGTTTTGTACGGTTAAAATATTGTACATGAAATGAAAAATGAGCTCACGGTGTTCTTCTGAGCATCAGTGATTTTGGTTTTGCCAACAAACGCTCCTCGAGTCCGCAGGATTCTGGCCAACCACTGCAGGTAAGACACTATCAGCTTACAAATTTGTCAAAAATTAACTCGTGGGGTGCAGCAGAACTAAGCCAAACTAACGTAAAGTTGTTAGTTGTGTAAAGTGAACTAGCCTTGTGTGACTTGGTAAGTAGCCGGTGATTGAGGGCTAAAACGTGTCAGTGTTTCTTTTTCTTCTGTTCCTGTAGAGTGCGCTGCAGCTCTCTTAGATTCTCAGACAAAAGCTCGACCTCGTCAAGTCGCCCGCTGAGCTTTGCATCGAAGATGTAAGCCCTAATGTTGTCGATTTGCTGCAGCAACAGTTCCTCCTCGATCATGTCCACATCGGGCAAAACCTCGTCGTCGTCCGTGTGAAAGGGGTTGTTCGAGTCCTCTGGAGAATTCTCAGAGGCATCCATGAAGGGGTTACCTGCACTGGCATCATCATCCTCAAAGGGGTTCCCAGCGGCTGCAGCCTCCGCCTGTTGGTCGTCTTCATCAAAGGGGTTGTACTCTTTCTTCCCGTTGGTTACTTCCTTGTGCTCCTTCTTGATGTCTTCAAAGAAGGGATTGGATGAATCTTCCTCAGTGGGTGTAGAGTCCTCCTCCTCAAACGGGTTAAGGGAGGTGTTGCTCAGGCCTTCACTGCTTGGTGGGGTTATGTGTCCTCCTAAGCTTCTTAATCTGGGAGGAGACTCCTCCTGGGATGTGAGATTAGGGTACGCTCTTATAGCTGATGGACTCCCATCAGCTTTACAAATCTGGACCTCTGCTGCGGTGTTCTCCTCCACCTGGTAGCTCCCCGCTGGGCTGACATCCAGAGAGGGCTCACAGGTAAACGACAGCTGGGTGGAGCCCCAGTACTCTCTCTGCTCCCGTTCCTGAGCCTCTAGACGCTGAAGCTCCCCCCGCTGTAAACGCTCCTCCTTAGCTTGCTGCTCGGAGAGAGCAATGGCAAGGCTGGTCTGCTGCTGGTCGTATTCTTCCTGCAGCTGACGCAAGTTCTCCTCCAACATGGCTACCTCATCTGCTCTTTGGGCCTCGCGAGCCTGACGAAGGAACGACTGAATGTTTTCAATCTGCTGCAGGAGGGGGTCCTCCAGCTCGCTGCGTATGTGAACGGAGTCTGCTGAGGGCAACCAACCACCAGCTTTGGTCATGCGTGGTTCTCTAGGAGCCTGGGGCAGCTCTCCATTGGCTGGTGGACGATTCTTCTCAAACTCTTGCCTCCTCCTTAAAGACTCCTGGGACGCCTGTTGTGCAGGAGAAGTTTGAAGCACATTTAGCAACTTGTTCGTCCAGTGAACAAATAAAATGTAGTTGAAGCGTCTCACCAGTCTCTCTTGTTGGAGTCTTTTCTCTTGGTCCCGTTTCCTCTTTTCTTTCAGCTCTTCATATTTCTCTTTAGTGGGTAAAGACATCAGGCCCAGCAGCTTCTCCTGAACCCATGAGTACAATGAAGGATGGAGTTAGTTATCTAAAGAACAGTTCTTTTCTTAGATCTCATTAAATTTGCCTCACAGAGGAGATTTACAAATACACAGCAACACCATGACGACTCCATCAACCATTGACCCAGTATGCTCACTGATTGACAGAGTCACCCAAACCACTTTAACCAGTCAAGCCAAAGCCAAAGAAAACCTGTGGTGTGTTGAAATGTCTTAAAGCAGTTGTTGGCACACCACCCAAAGGATTGTGTGGTGAGTTTTCTGTGGATTGGGCCTATTGCCAAAAGACTTGTATCCTTGTGGTTCCTAAAATGTTCAGCCTCCAAACCCCTAAAATAAAATAAGCAAAAATTTGCAACCCCAAATACCTTTGGTTAAACTACCAGTACACAAACACTGCTAAAAAATTAATTTAAATAACACCCCCCCCCCCCCCCCCAAAAGAACAACACAAATAGCTTAGTCTTGTATGATTTTTCATTATTGACTAGTTTTTAAAACTACAGTTTACAGGGAAAACAGTTTACCATATTTTTAGGCATATAAGTCAGTTTTTTGCATCATTTACACGCCCTGTGACTTATAGGCTGAAGCAACATATTGATGGACCCCCCCTCCCCCCCACCCATATTTATAAACCATTTTTTGGCTGAGTTATGACCGTTTTCATTCATTCTGACAGATTTTTTTTCTAAGCAGTACCACTTTCAACCACTTGATGGCAGCAAAGTAGTTAAGGCAAGCTGTTGTATCATGTAATAAGTAAACGTGGCTATAATGACAAATTCAAAAAAGTTCAAGACAAAAACAACTGGACTTTATTTATTATACTTTATTATTTTTTTATTGTTGAATTTATTTGAATTTACCATGTCCTGGATGACTGAGAATCTTCACCAGCTATTAATGACTCAATCGGCCTGCCATAATCTCCCCACCTTCTTTCTGCTTTGAACCGTCAAATCAGCAGCACCGCCCCGACGAAATGCAGCTAATTTGACCATAAAAGTGCATTTATGAAACAAATGTAGACTGAGACACACCTTTGCTATAATTTTGAGCAAACAAATAATTGCTTAGGCGTTTATCTTGTTAAATTTTGTACAGCGACTCATCACGTGCGCACGTTTACTTCCGCGTATCGGGTTTTGAAATCCAGCTTATGTGACCGTCAAAGTGCATTTATTAAGCAAATGTTAGACTGAGACACACATTTATTATAATTTCAAGCTTAATCTTGAAAGTTAATCTAGTTAAATTCTTGTTAGAGTCCTCCCGTGCACGCTCCTGTGGCCGCCATCGATTTTTGGCACAACACTGGCCCACATTTCCAGGTCAGCGGTGACGTGTAACAAGCGCGACGCGTCAGCGGTGACGCATAATAGATGCGACGTATACGGCGAAGCGACATATTTATGGATTTTTCCACTTTATTAGACAAACATGGACTGATGCGACTTATAGGGCGGTGCGACAAGTACGCCAGAAAATACGGTACTTGGGACTCTTCAGACTGATGACGCCCCTCGGGATAGAGGACGAAACGTCTTTCCACAAAAAAGACGCTGTCCAGATGACTCGACTGACCATTACTGCACTCATTTGAATCATTCCTCAGAAATAGCGCTGGTGCCACGTGACCGATCATCAAATGTCTGTGGATGGGGTGCAAATGTCAAAGCAAGAGCCACATGAATGTGAATGTGAATTGAATTCCAACAGAATGCTTGTTCTGTAACAAGCCGATACATTTTAATTGAATCGTAATATTATAACGTTATTGTTAATCAATGAACAAGTTAAACAGTACAAACACTGCCAGATACTGCTCTGAAGGAAGACAAAGGAGCAACGATGTACAAGAAGCAAAATAATTATTCTTCAAGAACTGTTGTGATTCCCAGTTATGTTTTTGCCTTTATCTAAAAACTATCTGTGTAATGCTCATTACTGTGTGGATGATTTTATTTTTTTACTAAAGCAGTCTTAACTTGAGCCCACCTGGACAAACAGTGTTGCAGTGTAGCGTATCATCCTCTGTAGTTGGAGCACTTTTGGGTGTGGCGGAGGCTCATTTTTAACTCCCAGTGTTAAAATCTTTTTACTAAGAAAAGAAAAAGCCTGTGAATAACAGAATACAAAGTGTTTTTTAGTTAATCTTAAAAGTATTAGTTATGACCTGCACGTACCTGAGAGCATCAATTAGCTCGTAGTATTTCTGGACTTCCAGTCTCAGTCCACCTGCTGTGTCGAGATTATACGTGATTTCTCCGGCACTTTGAAATAAAGCGGTGAAATATTATCGCTTAGATTCAAAACACAACCACATTCAGATTTTAAATACATTTGAACGTTGCTTACTTGAGAGACTCTGCCATTCGAATATACTCTGGAGCCTTTTCATCGACCTTCTCCATGCACATCCTCAGCCTCTGACAGGAAGACCGGGAACAGGAAGCCCCGTAAGAAAAACAGGGAACGACAGGAAGGACACGACCTTGTAAACTTAGAGAGTTGCTGGCCTACTGTTGTGAGAGTAGTTAAACCAACCTCATAAAGTTTTACTACGACGGGAACATGTTCTTTCTCTTCCAGCTTCTGCTGTCTCTTCAGCAGCGTGTCCATACAGTGATGACAGCAGCGGATCTTCTCGTCGTCTTTTTCTTCCAGTATGGAGGCAACGCTGCTCAAGCTGCTGATGCTGCCTCTCCTCGAGCCCATGCCGCTGCCAACCCCTCCTGTTGGCTGAGAGAGGGTCTGACCAGGACTTCCAGGAACACACAGGGCCTCTCGGGTCCCACTAATAAGCTTCTCTGTTAAATGAATAAATAAAATTCACAACGCTGACATAAAAAAACCTGTCTACAGATAAAAAAAAAACATATTTTTCAAGGTACTGTTGAAACGTACGGGCCAAAGGAAGTGGAACAAACTCCATGCACCTCCTACACATGATGGATCCACAGAGACGACAGTGATGCCGCCTGTTTCGGATGCTGAACTTGTTCCCACAGTCAGGGCAGAATGGGACGTCCGAGTCGTTTACCCAGGACACTACAGATTTCTCAATGGCTGCAGAGGAGTACGTAAACTCATTCTCTTTAATATGTCTTCTTTTAAATCCACACACATAAAGAACGATAATAAAAAAAAAAAAACTACGAACCTCTGATTTTAGCAGAGTCTGAGTTGGTTCTGTCAAACGCTGTCAGCTGAAACATCAATGTTCAGTGTGTGTTCAAAGCAGAGGGAACAGTGTGGTTTGAACAACTTGCTTTGTTAACGCACCTTTTCCAGCCTGATAATGAGCTTGTTGACCTCAATGACATAATGATCAATCCGGGCTGCTCTGTGTTTCTTAAAATAGTCCAGGTGACTTCGAGTTGCTCCTATAGAAAAAAAAGGGGCATCTTTAATGTAAAACAAATCCTTTTTTTTTTATTCTGTTTACATTTTACCTGCAATCACACTATTTTTATTTATATAAAATGGTTAATACAAAAGATGAGTCTCGTCTTACCCAGTTCCTGAGGTTCCCACATATACGGGTCCACTCCACCATAGTAGAAAGACTCATAACTGCCAGCGTCCGGTCTGTCATCCCCATCTCGCTTCAACAATTTATCTTTGGCTTTCTTTGCCTTCTGAACCAAATCTCAAAAGAAAAACATTTAAAAACAACTAACGTGGGCACCACTGAAACGACCTGATAAATAGATCAGAACCACAAGACTCGCCCTCGTCATGAACTTTCTAACAAAGTCAACTCATGCTCCTAAAAATGAATTTTAACTTTGCAGTAACATTACTGCATGCATCATACGCTTCCAATTTTTCTTGATGAATTAAAAAAAAAAAGGCGTTTGTTTGATAACGGAGCTGCCCCTCGAATGCACAGGACCTACATAAAACAAAGTTTGTGCAAGTGACGGAGAAACAAATGGAAACAAAAGTTCTGTCCCGATGACAAAGTTTCACCACAGAAACAAACTTGTGAACAGGTACTTTGCAGAAGAAGGGCCAGATCTGAATAGCATCCATCACAAAAACAACAGTGACAGGTTTGATTGCTGACCTTAACTATGGAATAATATTAGCGCTCTACACCATAAAAGTGAATTAACTGGTTAATTAAATCACCCAATTTCTTCCTGTAAACTTTCTTCTGAAAGTGTTTACCATATTTGTGTTCACAGCGCTGATGAGACAGAACGATCCAGTTATTAAAAGTAGCTGCGCAGTTTTTTTTAAAGATATTCTCTAAATTTTCTAAAAGAAATTAAAAAAAAATTACACATATTATCTTAAAACCTGTTTTATTATCAAACAGATATATTCAATCGTAGCTGTGATCGGTTTACTTTGAACGTAAAATAGTTCAGAGAAGAAAAAATAAATAAAAAATGATTTAATCTGACGCTATGCAGCCCGACATACTTTTAAGCTGTCCTCGAATTTGACGATCGTCTCCTGAGTGCTCCTCCTCGTAGTGTCCTTGGAGCTGGAAGAACGACTGAAGGTCCTTTAGGCACAGCGGGCACAGGAAACCCTCCTTCACTTCACCTGCACCCTCAAAGGGAGTTGGGTAACCGGAGGCCATGTTGACAGCAGGAGGTTCTGTTGCTCAGGAGGAGCTGCAAGGTGGTGTGATCCTGCTTGGACCAACATGTCTCAGGGCTTGAAAAGAACCTCTCATCTCCTCCATAGCTGGAAAATAAAAATAATTACATGAGGAAAGTCAGACTGAAGCGCGAGACAAATCCGACTGCAAGTCTCATTTATAATCCCAACTACTAATTTAACCAAAAGCCAGCACAGACTTGGTTCTGTCTGGGATGTGCAGCTGAGCCTCGTGCAGCTGAGCCTCGTGCAGCTGCACAGTTCACAGCAACGATAAAGAGTGACTGGTGTCTGCAATGAACAAGGTCACATCAGGCTAAAAAGATATTTAGAATAACTCATCTAACTTGTTTACTGCTCACAACCGTGAAGTGTTTGAGGTAAAAACGGAGCGGAAAGGACAGTTTATTTTAATTATAAAACATTTTACGAAGTTGATAAAGAATAGTGTTGACTTGTCATTAGTTCACATTTAGCAGCTAAAGTTAGCTTTGGTGCTGACAGCCTGTGTATTCATGTGGGCTGTGTGTCCAAATATAAAGTGTGGTTCTTGGCACAACGTGTTATCTTTAAAACTGAACAGTCCCTTTTAGTTTAATGTCGCGCGTCCTCCACTTCACCCACCGTTACGTTGCGAACAGGGAGACGCTAGCGGGAGAATGCTAACCGTTAGCATTTTTGTTTCTCCAACGGCGCGATTCAGACAGAATAATAAATGTTTTACAACAGCACGTACATTCACACTTACCCACTTTTTTTATAACTGATCGTTTATACGCATGAAATGTGTCTGACAAGAACGGTGCTAGTCACGGTTGGGATTTTTCTTGACAGCACAACAGAGGGAGCAGAACCCCACCTGGTCATGTGACAGGCTTGTCGTCGGTACGGGAAGAGAGGAGGAACAAACCGCAAGCAATAAACGCGAACTTAAGCTGTCCCGCTTGAGATAAGAACGGTCTGCTCGCACAATTAGCATTATTTTGAAAAACGTTGTTCAACCACAGTGCCATATTATTATTATTTTTTATTTTAATTTGTCTTCTTTAACACCTAAAAATACAAAACTACTGATCAAATGATGACAGGAGGCCATTTAGTGGTCAGAATGCTTATTCCTTTTATAATATTAGTTTTAAAAATATGTGATTCTTTATAGTATTTATACGTTTCATGGTCACAGTTTTATTTTACGGACATTGTTCATTCAACCTTTATTTATACAGGTAAATCCCATTGAGCCTCGAGGACTCATTTACAAGAGAGACCTGATTTCAACAAAGAAAGATGACAACAATGGACAACAGCAACAACAATAAACAGTTATAAAAAAAGCATACTACAGTTTTTTTTTTTTTTTTTTTTTTTTTAACAAATAGGATGGCTAAAAGGAAAAGGTAACAAAACAAAAAACAGCTAGATTCCAAGACAAATGTAGTTACCTGCACTGCCCAAATTGTGTTTTATTTGAATAAATAAATAAATAAATCAGTTTATCAGAGGATCTGTTTAAATTTTATGTTTTATTATATTTTACTTTGGTGGGGAAGTCTTTTATTTTCTTACTTCCTGTTTCTGCATCACTTCCCGTGTGTTCGCGCCACCCAGTGTTGCCAGGTGTACGATAATTATCGTATTTGTACGACAGTTTTGCCCTCTGTACATCAGTAATCCCAAAAAAGGCCAAATATACGATAATTTGACCATTCCGTGAATGTGTGGTTGTAATCGGCTGTCATCAGCCTGTCGCAACTGTCTGTCGGAGTTTTTTTGTGAACCCTGAAGGCATCTGTGTCTGCAAACAGATTCTAAATGTTACCTACGAGTGACGTATTTGCGTTTGCCTCAGACCAACGGCCATGATTGGATGAATAATCCGCTGCGCCCGCCCCATGAGTGAGGAAAGAAACGCACAACACCTGTCTGGAAGCGGACCCATCACTACTATAGTGCATTAATAGATTTGTTATTTTGGTTATGACGGGTGTACGATAATTTCCTCAAAATGCGATAATTTTATGTCTCTAGTACGATAATCCTACATTTCTCACCTGGCAACACTGGCGCCACGCCCCTCAGTCATCTAGCTGTGCTGAGGAGAGGCGAGCGTGCAGCATTGTCTCCCATTTATGTGTTAGATGAAGGTTGTAAATCTGTTGAAAACATCTTGAAACTTAAGTTTGTCAAACTCACATTTAGTTTTGTTGAATTTGATCCTCTTGAGCTGTTTTATGTTTGACAGCACTTCATGTTACTTCAACATTCATCAGGTTTTCACTGGCTACTCTAATACTGTAATTATTTTCCCATCGAATGTGTGCAGGGACTGTAAGGACATACCACAGTGATGTATATTTTTATTAAAAAAAGTTAATTTAGAGATGCTACATTACATTGGCCCATTTTATTGTCTAGCTTCCTCCTTGATTCATAATTAAACTATTGCTTTTCTGCATGAATAGACTTTTTATAGGTTTTGTCATTTGTGTATACCTGTCTACTAATGACTGACCAATCTGCTCTGCTTGTCAGTGTAACAGTAGTTTTGTCTGTTTTTCTTGTCTCTCCCACTTTAGAACCATGCCAAAATATAGACCTGTCCACGTGAAGATACGCAGAGTCAAAGTTCAGAAAATCATTGGTGGCAGCGTTACAATTTCATATCTCCCATATCACTGACCATCACTTCTCAGCTCAGACAGAGTCGCCTGTTCCCACACCAAGCACACATTTCACTGAAAACACAAATCCAACTCATAACTCTTCTCAAGAAGAGACATCATATTGGAGGGCAACAAGAACTGAGCTCATGGGATTCACTGAAAGATGAGATATTGCAAGAGTCCTATAAATCCTCAGCACCTTCCTCCACCTCCTTTCGGATGAAAGACAAAACGTTTCTAAAAAAAAATTTTAATGACAAGAGGACCAGATGTAACTTTTTTAGATTTTTCTACCTGGATTATTGAGCATGCATCAGGATACATCCTCCACCATCTGAAATATTTGCAAAGAACATGCTGACTAACGCTGTTTGCAGCAGAACTAGTGTTTTTTTTTTTTGCAAGACGTTTGAGAAAATACACCAAAATTCTCTGCACCTTCCAGAGAAATGGAATGTAAGGTCTTTTTCATGGAATTTACTTATAAAAGTTTTTATTCTGATTTACTGAATAAGTTCTTAATTGTATAAACATCTTGATGATCTCCAAGATTTCTAGAAAATATTGTGTGTACCGTATTTTCCGCCGTACACGTCGCACCGCCCTATAAGTCGCATCGATCCATATTTGTCTAAAAAAGTGGAAAAATCCATAAATATGTCGCTTCGCCGTATACTTCGCATCTATTATGCGTCTCAGCTGACGCGTCACGTTTGTTGTGCTTCACCGCTGACAAACCGGAAATGTTGTACCAAAAATTGATGGGCTGCCAAATGTCAGCCGCAGGAGCGTGCACGGGAGGACTTTAACAAGAATTTAACAAGGTTAACGCCTAAAAACAATTATTTGTTTGCTTGAAATTATAGCAAAGGCGTGTCTCAGTTAAACTTTTACTTAATAAATTCACTTTAATGATCAAATTAGCTGCATTTCACCAATGGTTGGCTATTTTACGCTGGGTAACACCATTCTGGTATTGCTGCACTATCTTTCTGCGCAACAATGGTGGAATTGGTGATCCTCTTACCATCTTGGCTTCTGAGAGACACTGACACTCTGAGAAGCTCTTTTTATACCCAATCATGTTGTCAATTGATCTAATTAGTGTTAATTGGTCTTCCAGCTGTTCATTATATGCTCAATTTCCTTTTTCCAGCCACTTATTGCTACTTGTCCCAACTTTTTTGGGATTTGTTGACACTGTGAAATTTTGAATCAACATTTTTCCTTTAAAATGTTACATTTACTCAGATTAAACTTTTGATCTGTCATCTATGTTATATACGAATAAAATGTTGACATTTGCCATCTCCACATCATTGCATTCAGTTTTTATTCACAATTTGTTTAGTGTCCCAACTTTTTTGGAATCCGGTTTTTATTTCAAATGTTTATTTTAATGTTGATGATTATAACTGACAACTAATGAAAACCCTAAATTCAGTATCTCAGAAAATTAGAATATTACTTAAGACCAATAAATTTTTTTGATTTTTATAAATGTTGGCCAACTGAAAAGTATGAACATGAAAAGTATGAACATGAAAAGTATGAACATG